ATCATCTAGGTTTAAATAAACAGTTTGCAAACTGTCCGGCTTACTTTGCAAATTGGTTCCCTCTTGATTTTGATGCAAATCTGAGATCTCTAAAACTTTGAGTGTGTCTGAGTCCTCTGTGTTACCTATTGTGGGTGTACGATCAGCTCGCTGTGTCTCCATAGCCTCAGGGTCATCATCTACGTTGTCGGATTCTACATTTGTCACATTATCCTGAAATTCAAGGGTGAGTGCATTAGATTCAAGATCGGGTGAGTTTGCGTCACATTTCTCCTGTTCGGTTAGCTCAATAGCATCTGTCACAGGTGGAATTACAGAGTCTAAAGATGGCACAGCTTCGCAAGAGATGCTGTCTGTTAAGATTTCAAACATGGAATCAGGAATATCTCCATCATGGGACACCTCAGATAAGGCTTCAGCCTCAGTTGAATGTGTGGGCTGGCTGTGGTCCTCAGGTAAGATGTCATCTTCAGGTGAGAGCTCAATTAAGGCATTATGCTCAGATGTGCTGAGTGGCAAGGCTCTTGTGGACTCCTTATGTTCGTCTATGTCAAGCAGGCTTTCAGTTGAAGGATCTTCTGACTGCAAATCAACAAAAGCAATTGGTGCGAGTCCTGTTTCAGGTTCAGAAAAAGCATTATCAGCTGTAGCATTGGACACGACCTCCTCCTCCAACTCTTCTCCAACCATTTCCAATGGTTCACATTCTGTGGATAAAACACACAACATTTCTTCACAAAGTTCAGATGATATGCAAGACACACCTAATGGACTCCTACAAACGGTCTCTACTTCAGAAGATAGCTGTGTTGTTTCCATGTTAGTGTCTGTCATCTCTTGGCTCTGAAGATCATCGTCATGGGTCTCGTTACTAGCTGAGGGCTTACTACTCTCTTGTTCAGAGTACAGACCTCCAACCAGCAGCCCGGGTAACAACATCTCTACCTCATCCATTGGAAGGGGTGCACTACTCTCGTGATATGGCAGAATAGGTGGTTCTGTACATATCTTCGGAGAGGTGAGCTCACAGGGAAGGGCTGTGGATGAGTAGATGTGTTCTGGTGTAGATAGAGGTGTCTGACAAATAATTGAAGGCTTGGGATTGGAGTTCGTATCTGTACATGACAACTCCACAAGAGAAACGGGCAACAAACCTTCAGAATTCAGAGTGAGATGAGTCCCGTGTGGAAGCAAGCTCTGACTGTCATTGTTCACAAATGTTCTTTCCTCTAGGGAATTATGGCTGAACTCACAGTTTGTTAAATGTGTGTCCTCAAGGAGGTGGGTTTCTTGTAGTAGTGGGTCAATAATACCCAGCTCACCTGTGTACACATCTAGAGGGTTTGAAGTGGCAGTAACCTCCACCGGTTGCAGGAAATCAGGCACCTGTTCTGGAAGGTCATAAAAGTTGTTTTGATTCTGCACTTGTATATTTGAGATTGTAGGACTAGTAGATCTAGAATTAAAACAGATGAGATCTCCAACAATTTCCAAACATCCAGGAGAACCCTCTCCTTTGAGATTTTGGGAAGGAGGAGGCTGAGTCTTCCAATCGGGATAGACACATTCCAAACCATTTTCCCAGGAATATGTCTGCCCAGAATACGGAGAGGACCAAAATAAGTCATCTAGGTTTATGGCGTTCTCCTGAAAAATGTCATTAGTAGAATCAACAGAACTGTTATCTTTATCCATAAGGAGAAATCCAAGGGGATTCTGCTCAGATTCCCACTCAGCTTTCCCATTCACCTCCCACTCAGAACACCCCTGAGGGCTGGAGAGAACTTGCTCCATTGAAAAGAAGAGTTCTCTCCTCTGACAAATGGAAATATTCCAGAAATTCCAATCCTTTATGATCCCACAAGGTAATGTTCGGAATTCAAAAGCAAATGGTGGCCTCTTCCAGCATACGCACCAAAAGAAATATCCTTGTCGAGACCCATGCGTAAGCGTCCACCTCCCTGTAAATGATCAACTACTGTTTACTTTTGCGGACACAGGGATAATGTTTCATTGCTGTAATACAGCTCATATGGACTGAGAAATTTTTCCGATATGCACACCTCTCCATGGGAAAAAAATAAATAAATAAAAAATGTTGGCCCTGTTTCCCTGTTCTGCATTCAAAGTCACATCTAATCCACTTGACACAAGTCTTCGCAAAACATGCTGATCCACATTCCAATCAACACATAACAACAGGATTACTTCAGTACTTAAGATTGCTACACATAAAACTCAAAAATTCTTTATGAAAAATAAAATTTTAGAATCTATACATGTATAAGTGAATACACAAGATTACATAAAATAGAGAGCTTTATCATTGCCAATATAACACTGTATAACCAAATTCCATAACCTTTAACTTCCTAGAGTTAAAAAAAAACTGCCTCTTAAGCAAATCATTATAAATTCACATTAATGGTACACTTATAACAGGTTTGACCCTGGATTAACTACTAATTATTAAAGTCAGATTATGATGTAAAAACACAAGGCAGTGTATTAAATTATTTTACTCAGATTGTCTCGCTGTCATAGAGAATAAATCTTAACATATCTGCAATTTACGTTAAGCACAACAGACTATGTTTTAAACAGCTGTCATTGTGTTATTAGACAACAACAACAAAAAACGAAAAACCTTAACGTTAAATGATAGATTGTTCTCGCGCGGTTAGCATCAGCATCCTCCACATCTGAGGTAAACCCATTAGCTGACTAGCTGGCCCATACGACCCCCGCTCATTTGAAAATAAAAGAAGACCCCCTGATGTTTCTGGTTCCCGTCAGACTTGATTTAATCCCTTTATTTGGGTTGATTCTAGGCGTTTTATTCCTGTTTGTATTTCGTAAATACAGGCCAACATCCAGGTCGAGTCTCGCGAGTCATCCACCTGCGCTTGTTATTAGCCTGTTAGCGGGATCAAATCAGCGAGAGACCACCGATAATCCCATAAATAAAGCGCGAATCCCTTTTATTTTAATCCCTCGGCGGCGATTTATCCGTTAACCTGAAACCTGAGATTTAGGATGAGCTTGTGAGGTCCTGTATTTTTAGTCGACGGATGATGTTTCAGTCTCTTTCTCTCTCTCTCGCTCTCTCATCAGCAGCAATACACAACATCTGCTGTCTCTCTCTCACACACACACACACACACACACACACACAGAGAGAGAGAGAGAGAGAAACCGACGTCAGCAACACGCATGCGCAGCGCCGCAGTCTAGCGCTTTTAAACCACAGGCGTCAAGAATCATTCCTCGCGCAGTTATCTGTACGTTTGGTTGCGATGGTGATGATGGAACGCAGATTTTAACGGACGACTCAGATGCCATCATTTGCTATTGAAAACTGCTAGAGGTAAAATAGTGGCTAACATAATCGAGACAGTTTGCCAGAATTACAGTCGCTAGATAACGTCTACTTAGAAAAAATGCTGATTTGTTAACCAAAAAGTTTCAGTTATTTACTTATTTTTTTGCGCCCCCATGTGTACGAACAAAGATATTACAGCTAAAAGCATAGCCCGGAAAAGGTAATACAAGAATTATAAAATATTTATTATGAAAACGGTTACGTATATAAGAAAACAATCATGTTTACAATATTTTTATTTTATTTTATACATGTACTGTAGCTGAAAATTTAAAAAACGCCACTAATGTAGTGCTAAAATGGTCAGTTATGTTACCAGAAGTAAAATATACATTATAATTACTAAAACTTTGTGGTTAAAAAAAGTTTCAGTTACCTTTTTTTTTTTTCAAGGACTGAATTTTTTCTTTTTCTTTTTTGTAAATAGTTCAATGTGCCAAATTGGTATTTTCAGTCTTTAGAACATATCATATCCTCACAGTTAGCTTGAAAAAGAAATTGTATCCGGCATTATAGGGTCAAAAATAAAAATAAAATATCATCAATAAAATATCCGTCATATTTCACCTCAAAATCAAAGGAAGAAAATTTAGAAAATATATTTGCATTAAAAATGCAGTCATTACAGTAATGAGACAAAAGATACTCATTATCATAAAGTAGGAAAAATATGATTATGAATAAAATAATCATAAATTAAAAAATTGTAACTTGTTCTTTGTACTGACATTCATTTATGCTGAAAATCCAATGAAAAGAATGAGAATTTACAACTCAAAAAGTATAACAGAGCATTATGAAAAATAGAATTTGGGTAGAAATGTGTTTAATTCTAAAAATTTAAGTCCTAAAATTAGGCTTAATTTTCTTAACACAGAATATTATTGCTTATTTCTTTCTTTAGTTTTGGGGTGAAAAATAAAATGGACGTTTTTGTAATATTCAACAATCATACAGATGCTGGCATGATCAACTGGTCCATTGCTGTTGATTTCATCTTCTATTCATGCTATTTATCCTTTCTTTTCTCTGCAGACCAAAAACCTAGAAACATAAGAGAAACGAAGTTAGAATGAGATTTTATATACCAAAAACGTTACCCACATATTCACAGGTCAATCATACAGTGGTAGAAAAATTCATCGAAAATGTTTTGCTCACAAGATCGCAGATTTAAAAAAAAATTGATTCTCTTAAGTGTGTTGAGCATTTGAATAATTATTCTAATTATTGATTTATGTTAATCGGTTCAGTCCTATATAACTAGCAAGCACCTGTCTTCTAGCACAGGCACACACACCTGTGTGCGGTGCTGTCTGTCATAGTTTTGCAGAGCGAGATGAGACAATACCCAGCAGCCGTTCCACGTCATTGGCCGAGGTGAGCCACGCCCCTCCATCGGCGACCAGTATAGCGCCGGTGACGTATGAAGCCGCGTGGCTAGCCAGGAAAAGAACCGCATGTGCGATCTCGGTCTTATTGCCGGCTCTTTGTAGCGGGATGCTGCGGAAAACCCCCGCTGACTCGGCATGTGAACCACCTGAAAGAACAATAGTGATGGTGAAAAAGAAAGGTATAGTGACACTACAGTTAGGCTACACACACACACACACACACACACACACACACAACTGGTTTTACCTAGTCTACGGTATCCCTCTGTGCCAGAGATGGGCCCTGGAGCCACTGTGTTCACCCTCACACCACTGGGGCCCCACTCAACCGCCAAGTGCCTCGTCATGGCATCTACAAACACATATAGATATGCAGATAATTAGTCCTTATTTTAGTATCATTGATATACTAGTATATATTTGTTAATATTCAGAATTTTTTACAAATATTTTGTTTTCACTGAGTTAATTTTTTTTGTAATTTTCTTGTTTGTGTAAATCAGGGGAAAATGTATGATATTTATTTTTTGCTCAGAAAAACAAAAATGCAATTAAATTAAACAGAAACTTTTTTAATTTTTGGGGGGAAAAACAACAACAATTTAAAGCAGTATTGCACTTATTGTTTTTATGCTTAAACCCTTTTTTGTCTTTGACCCATATATATATATATATATATATATTTCAGCTACCATTTATTTTATTTCAAGAACTGAAATGTTTTGTTTTTTTTTTGTAAATAGTTCAATGTGCCAAATCTGTCTTTTCTGTCTTTAGAACATATCATATCCTCACAGTTATCTTGAAAAAAAAAATTTGTATCCGGCATTATAGGGTCAAAACAAAAAAAAACTAAAAAAAGTATATATGTATAAATCATTAACAATTAGAATTAAAATAAATAAATGGGGACAATTTTGATTTCATTCCATCTTTACACACCAGATGTAATATGATTTATTCCACTCTTTTATCCAACTCCATGTTTTTATTCGCCTTACAAATGAGGAACATCAGTCTTCATACTAGTTTTAGATTCATCTGCATACTATTGTCTTAAATATGGTTTCTTCCATTTGTCATGGAGCACTATTACTCGTATAAATACTTGTTATATATTTAAATGTTTATAAATACAAACATATGACTTTATACAAATTATGCAGAACATAAACCAAAATCAACACTAACCGTTTGCAGCCTTCGCTGACCCAGCATGCACCTGGAGAGCCTGACCTCTGTATCCCAGTGTGGCGGAAATGTTGACAATGGAGCCGCCATGATCCTGAGATAAAGAAATAAAGCCACAAACTATGAGACTGAATATAAAGTACTGCTTCATACAGAGAGATCTCTACATGTGAGAAAAAAAGCCAAGGAGTGAGATATTTTAGTAATAAAATTCTTGAAATGTATATCTTTACCTTGAACCATTTGTCATAGATGACTTTACTGGTGTTGAAAGTTCCCATGGTGTCGATCTCCATTACCGTCTTGAAAGCGTTAAATGACAACGATGTAGCTGGACACAAGAAATTACCTGCAGCATCTGTGAAATAAAAATTACAAACCACAAAACTGTATGACTATTTTCAAAAAATACATGTGCTCGCATAATATGCAACCACACATTAGATCATGAAAAAAGGAAATTTGGACAGAGGGTATTAAGCTGATTATCAACATCATTATATCTACAGAATCAAGATCTCTTTGGTAATAGACTGTTAGTTTGGGACATGTTTTTATCACAGGTTAAGGCACTGTGTTTGACCTTCTAACTCAAGCCTTACTGTTAATTAGTATGTCAACACGTCCAAATGTCTTCAAGGCTTCATCCATGGCAGCAGAAATCATCTCTGGTTGACGCACATCCATGGCAATCGTCAAACACCGTCTGCCTGTAGTGCTGGTTAACTTTTTTGCAGCCTAACACACACAATAAGATGAATGACTCTTCAA